TATTATTATTATTATTATTATTATTATTATTATTATTATTATTATTATTATTATTATTATTATTATTATTATTACTACTACTACTATTATTAATATTATTATTATTAATTAGTTATTATTACTATCTAAGATTTCCCCATCATTTGAGGGATACTTTCAACAAAAAGTAATCGTGTTTTTGCGCTTGTATTTTACTAACTATAAATTTTGTTTTAGGCTCACTTGCACAAAATGAAAATAATAGTACAGGGCCAACACAAATTACTCTTGATGAAATTGTTCGTGACTGGCAATATCATCCAAATAATCAAAAGGTTCGAATTAATATCTTGTATGATAAGATAAAATAAATTGAGGAAGTGTTTATCATTCATATAAAAATTTCAACTATAAATCTACTTCCAGCTATTTATCGCATTATTGCTAATGCTAATAAATGCTAATGACATTATTGGCAATGCTTGAATAAATTTTCCAAACTCCTTCTATCCTTTCATCTATCATTCCATAATAGTTTTAAAAATACTTTCTAATTTGGTTGCATTTCTACTTAAAATAAATTTTTTGAAAAATGGCTAATGTTTTACACAAATTAACTTAATTTTTTTTTATGAGAATAGATGAATTAGTTTGAATTTCAGACTAATGCAACATATGAAATGGAACGTATAGATTCAGAAATGGGTCCACGAAGTACAATGACAAGTAAACGTACCTCAATATGTCCCAATACAGCTTGCGTATCGGAAATTGTAACTTTTGCATACTTTGCTTTAATCTATTCAAACTCATTTCTTTTTGTATTGAAGTAATTATGAAACTTTATAAAATCACAAGATCAAAATTATAACATTTCATTAATTTTGAAAATTGCTAATTACAAAAAAATAATTGTGTACTATAAAAAGTCAATCGAAAATAAAAGAGAATAACAGAAAGCTAAGTAAGATTTTAATTATAATTAACTGATAATTCCAACCACCCAAAATACAAAAGTGATAGTTGAAAATTATCAGTAGGAAAATTTAAATTTCAATTTATAGAAAGAAATGCTTGAAGAAGATGAAGAGAAGCCACTAGATATGTCATGGCCTGAGAAATTACATCGTCAGCTTCTTTATCTAGTCCTATCACCAATTTTATTCCCATTATGGGTGACACTTCCTGATGTCAGGAAGCAGGTATGGATATGTATACAGGAATTATTTCTCGTAATATTACTCATTAAAGGAACATTTTCATCCGAAAATTTTAATGTTTAATATAAAGTTTATTGACTTTGTTGAAAATTCAAATTGAAGCATTTCTATCAAATTTCAAACCTTTTTTCTTTTTTTTCAAATATCATCTTTTAGTCCATAGAGGATTATAAGACTCAAATTATATTTGAAATTGTTATTTTCAATTCTAAATAGTATTTGAAATAGAATGCCCGCAAATGGTTCCCAATAACATTCATTGGTTCCATTTTTTGGATTGCATTTTATTCATATATAATGGTTTGGATGGCTAATACTATTGGAGAAACGATTGCTATGCCCACAGAGGTAAACATTTATAACCATTTAATTAGCTAATAATGGTGCTAAAAATGAGGGTAACAATCATATTATTATCTAAGTTCAAGGGATGATAATCTCATATCATTGTCTAAAATCAAGAAGTGACAATCATGTCACTATCATTTCAACTAATTAAATAATGACGAGGAAACGCAATTCTTTGATATTTTTTAAATGTATAACATTTAAATGTTCTAAATTTTTCCAAAAAAAGATTATTTGAATAATTTTCATTTGCATATACCAATGATAATTTCACCATGCACTTTTTGATTTGAATTAATATTGGAAATGAGTAAAGTTGAAATATAATGGATTAACTTTGCTTGTATTATACGATATTTGAACAAATTGTACCATAAATTTAGGTAATCGGGTTGACAATATTGGCCGCTGGAACAAGCATACCTGATTTAATCACCAGGTGTGATTAATTTTAAACATCTTGTGATGAACAAATAGAATATGATTGTAAGATTTAATGAACCTATCCTTGAATGCATTACATAGCATGCATGCAGTATGAATACATGACAGAAGCGACAGCATGCTATCGGATAGTTTTATTGATCCTAATAAAGCAATTTTGCGCCGATTTCTCATTTTAGGATGGTTTCTATGTTAAAATATACTTCATTGATTTTTTGTGCCAAGACAGATAAAAGAGCAACTTTTCGCCAAAATCCGAATGGAATTGTTAAATTGCTTTCTAAAAAAAAATTGAGTTTTGAAAACCAATTGATTGTTTAAGTGTTATTGTGGCAAGGAAAGGCCTTGGTGACATGGCTGTGTCCAGTTCCGTCGGTAGCAATATTTTTGACGTATGCGTTGGGTATGTTAATCAGCATTTTAAATTTTGGAAATCTTATTAATAGAACTTTGAAAAGTAGGTTGGGGTTTAATTAAAATATGTTTACTCTTCGGATTGTTGTTCGAATCCGGAATAAGGATCGAAATTAAATCCCAAATTTGCATATGGATAACATGTACAGTGTAAAATTGATATGCATGGATGTGACCAGATATATTGTTTTTATATCCTGAGTTTTTCTTTTGCAGGTTACCAATTCCTTGGTTATTATTTTTCATCGTTGAACCTCTTCGTAATCCTGGTACTACCCAGAATCACATTTCAGTTTCCAGGTAATGTTTCAACTTCTTGAAGAACTAATTCTTTTCCT